AACATGAAATCTAAATTTCCAACATCTAGCTTAATTTGAGCCAAGAGAGATCAAGCCTTTTTATTGGTTTGTTATTTATAAATTCTAGAAATTTAACCATATTTTATATTAGTCACAAGTAAGAAAATTAATACTAAATAATATTTATCAGAAATTTTAAGAGAACATGGGATATATCAAAGTGGATGAGACACAGATACTAGACTCATACTCACAAAGTTGACATCAGAAGTACTTACCAAAGGACAAGAGGTTTTGATCGAATTCTTATTTAGTATGCAGCTAGATAAATGCTATGACTCAGTTGACACATAAAATTTTAAGCTTTTATAATAATGTATTTGTTTAGATTATGCCTTTGATTTATAGTGCCACCCAACTTAGATGATTGTTGTAATATTTTGTTTCTTATGGAGCTAGTAAGTGTTTTTTATCCTCCCCCAATCAAGTATGCAACATTCACTAGAGATACTATCCACTAACCATTTTTTGTTAAAATTAACTATATTCCTTTGACATTGATTTTCATTATGTTTGAGAGCATTAATATTATATTATTTAATACATTACCTCTGCATATTTCTCTTGAAAGAGGAAAATTTACATTAAGTTAATTTATTTTTTAATTTTTACATCTTAGATATATATTCTATAAATATAAATATAATATTGTATATAAAAATTTAGATACTATTGTTACTAGTGTCAATCCTATCTAATTTTTTAATAATATTTAATATTTAAGAAGTAAACATTAAAAATAAATTAACTTAATGTAAATTTCCCTCTTTCAATAAAAATATGTAGAGGTAATGTATTAAATAATATAATATTAATGCTCTCAAACATAATCATACAAGAATAAAATTATAAAATAACCACTCTTAACTTGTGTGATAGAGCTAAAAACTTTATGTTCATTGGTGAAAGAGCTAGCTTTAGGTGATAGGTATGCTGTTGTGCTATATACTACATGGAGGCCAAGTGGATGCAAGTGACAAAGAATAACAAATTTGGTGATATTATTATGGCAAATTAGGTGTTAGAGAATTGGGACCACAATTTAAAAGTTACATAAATGAAGCTGATTATAGTGAGCATTATGGCAACATGAAGACACATATTATCTACTAAAAATATTGGTTTGCCACAATTGAGAAGTATGATTTCACATGTTATATATAAACGACATAATTTTCTAGATTAACTGTGATAATGTAACACTTATCAGTAAACCCACATCACACATATATAATAGAAAAAAAAGAGTTTTAGTTCTATGAAATGATGTAACTATTACAATAAATTTATTTGATTAGACTTCACAGGTAGAATATCTTTCAACATTTTTAATATGTTTCAAAAGTTCTTTATATTTTTTATTTTGGTTTTCTTTCTTCCAAAACTTTTTGGAATAGAAATTATACGGGATAATGCTCATCGAATTTTTGATCCAACTAAGCATATAATTTTAAGAGCTATAAGAGCTGCAATAGAGTCAATTAATGATTTAACTCCATATATGCCTGGAAGTTCTATTATTTATGTTCATAATGAAATAAAAATAGTATTAACCCCTTTAGCTATAGAGAATGTTCCTCGGTATTACAAATTACTTTGTAGTATATTTCCTGAATATGCAGCTCCTTATTATGGTTCTATGTTAAAGAAGAAATTTGAATCTATATACACTTCTCATATAGAAAATGATTATGGTATATTAAATTTTGGAATATCTGAATATATTGTTGAATCATTTAGTATTTTATATAATTTTAAAAATGATAACTATAATACAGCTCAAAATAGTTCTTTAAAATTTATACCCACTACTCAAACTTCTCACTATAATCCTTATATATCAAAAAATATAGTTAAAACTGATTGTACATGGAAGGATGTTTGTATTAGAAGCATAGATGATTTTTCATCATTTTCTAACTTATATGCTGGAAACTTTCTCATCTCACCAAATGGAGAATATATATTATATATGCAATTAAATTGTGTACTTATCTTGTTTAAAGGTCCAATTACCATTTGGAAAACTGAAACAAATAATAAGGGAGAAGGTTGTTTGTTGAGATTGCAAACTGATGGTAACCTTGTAATATATGACAATAAAAGTATTGTTATATGGACAAATAGTATATATTGGAAAAACATATGGAAGGTAATGGCACTATGTGTAAGCAATAGTGGTCATATAATTCTTTATGATAATGTAGAAAAAAAATCTATATGGGCTAAACCAAATTGATTTTATAAAAAATTGAATAAATAAGACTATCATTATATATTGATTCTATCTTGCCAATAGTGGTTTTTAATAATGATTTGATTCAATTAAAACTACTTACTTTTATTTAGAAGCTATCTAATATGGACTCTCATATAGAATTGTATTAGAAAGGGGTAGACCAAAATTAAGTTAAGTTCACAAATTTAGCTTAACTCAAGTCAAAGTCATAAAAACGAGATTTTAATAATGAGTTTGTATTATATAATTTATTATTGATATATGCAGTTTTGATATATCTTCCTTTTGTTCCAACTCATAACTCCCATCCATCCCAACATTTAAATATTAGACTTGCTATTATGTTGCTTTTGACTCTATATATGATTCATTATATTTTTTGAAGACATAATGATCTCTAGTTGTAGCTACCATGGATGGTTGTGATAGCTATGGCAGTTATAGGTGGCTCATTTTCCCTTTTCTAGTTAGTTAAGGGTTTAGGAGGATACTCTTATAAATTTTTTAACAGTACTTGGTGGATACTTAAGGTTGAGCATCTTTGGATTTGAGTAGTATAATATATTTGAAAACTCAAATTCAGGAACTTACACTGAACAACATTGAAAATCTAAAGCTATATGTTAAACCACCTCGAGTAACAAATGAATGCTTTTGAACATATCTTGGATGTAGCTTAAATTTTGTATAATGTACTTTATCTCTTTCCCCTTAAACCAACTGAAAATGGTGCAATTGCTTGATATTAATGGTTATTTTATTTTTATTTATCCCCTAAGGTTTTAAAAATCTATAGTAATAGTATATTTAAATCTCATCCCATGATCATACATACTACATTTACATCCCCTTTACATATGTCATTATCTTCATTGATTATTGACTAAAAACCCTATTAAGTTAAGATGAATTAAAACTTCCACTTTCACACTAAATCTATCAATCCTCCCATTATAAATAAATTATTATATGTAAAGTAACTAGTTATCCACTTGTACTACAGTCTTATGTTAAATACCTTTATTTGTGGATACCTTATAAGACAAAGTATGTAGTCATATATGATTTCAATTTTAGGGGTAAGATTCCCACTTGATAAGTGGCTACTTAAAATTTAACTACCCTGATATCATATAAAACACACTTCCTTTAAAACCAATTTAAAAAAATACAATTGTTTAATAAAAGATCCTTTAAAAATTATTTTATCCCTATTTATTCCCTAAAGTTCCAAAAATCCATATATTCAAATATTATATGTGCTACATCTCACCATAGCTATTTGTCCTAATGTGTGGTGCTCAAATCAATACTATACATACACCCACTCATTGACACTGAATGTGCAAAACTAGCACTTTTGATCAGTGTAGAACTTCATTCACTGGCCAGGTTATGTTTCTTCCAGGTGGCCCTTGACCTCTGACTAAGAGACTGCTACATCCTGTAGGAAAAGGAATTGTTCCTAGACTCTGCAGCCATATAGATGTACAGTGTCATGCTGATTGCAGAGGATTCAATCATAATGTAAACAAACTAGGCATGATATCAGCTTGTCCACACAGAAAGCTCACCTCAAGCATTTGGTTTGTTCATTGAGTTTGCCTGTCACTCTGTGGGTGGTAGGTATGCAAAAAACTAAACTTTGTCCTAAGTAGCTTCCACAATGATGTCCAGAACAAGCTAAGGAGGGTCTTTGTCAAAGACTATCTCCCTTGGGATCCCATGGAAATGGCCCACTTCCACCAAGAAAGCTCAGCTTTTCAACTATAGCCTTGGAGGAGAGGGGAAAAAATCATGCCACCTTTGTGAACTTGTGAGTTTTATATTGTTTATTAAGCATGTGAATATAAAATTTGCTCAAGAAAATAATACAGCTCATTAAAGTGTTCTCAAAATATGCTTACTATATCTTGCAAAATGATTTAGATAAAACATATATTTTTTGGGAATAACAAATTACAATAGTAAAATTATCATCGTATTGACATTAAGAAAGGCGAATAAGTTTTTTTTACTAATTTTGATTTATTATAAAAAATTTCATGGAGTCTATCCCAAAAGAGCTTTAGGTGTGGAAAAATACTATGTAATATGTGTTGATCCTGATGTACAAAAAGATTAACAAACTCTCCAGATTAGTCATAAAACACCATATAGTTACTGTTTGAGCTGTAAGAATGATGGAGTATACATCTTTAATTTCTTTATTCTAGGCTAAAAGATGGTGAAGAATATATCAAGATGTTTGTTTAACAGTATTCTCTTCTCCAATCTCCTCACAAATAATAATGTGAACAAGCTTAATCACCTAGAAAAACAAATCTATAAATAACACAATTTAATGTTGGTTGATCCAAATTTCCAATACTACAATATTAAAGTGTACTACAAGAATTTATTTATAACTTTGTAACTTGAGTCTGCACCACTTCTACAACAAAAGCAATTTGGAAAACTTTTACTATGCTCAAGAATTAACTTTGAATAATTTATTTTTTATGTAAGAATTGAAATCCAGAAGTTTGTGTAATAATGGAACAATGTTCTTGCATGGAGATCTCAATGAAGAAATCTTTGTCCAGCAATCAGAGGGTTCCGGGAACATCAAATGCTTTGTCATACACTGCCCGTGTTAACACAACTCAATTTGAATGATATAGCAAGTGTTTTTCATTCTTTTGTTTCCACATGTGAGAAAGCCGTTTTCTTTCATGGCTGTTTGTCATGACGTTCTAACCTTTGCTGCCCATGTTAACACAACTCAGTTTGAATAGATATAACAAGTGTTTTAACCTTTCTTTAGTAATTCACACTGTTATTTGTACGGTTTCTAAACAGCAGAAGAATATGAAACATCAATCGCCATGCTTATTATTTTCCGGAGGACCAGACTGACGGCCCTGTCTTGGTATTTCTATGTTACACGAGCTCTAGCAAAAAGTCCTTTCCGAAAAAGTAATGCTATTACGTGATTCCTGGAGAAAAGATACGATCAATTCTAGGATACAAATCCAAGTAAGAAACTGTGACTTACATGGTGGTATTCACGAGACACAGATTAAGTTTGTTTTGTGTTGTTCGGCAAAATCACGAAGAACACGCTTCAAGGATCGACCACCGTTTCCGCCTCTTTGTCTGATCGAGTTACCTGCATCCACCTCTGATGCTGCGGCCCTAAGAGCTTCCAGCCATGTCGCAGACAGGCGCTCCGCTTCACCATGTCTCAAGTACTCGGCCGGAAGTGCTTGAATCTGGAACGAAAAGTATGATTCTCTGGGAGATGTGGATAGCTATCTTACGGCGGAGACTATCCAGCACTGAAGGGCACTCCATCCGATTCTGGAGCTCCCACTGTTGCATATAGCTGCCAGTTGTTGGAGTATTGTCGTCGCTTTGTACACCTGGTGAAGGAAAAACAAAATAGATGGAGTGTTTGCAGGAAAGTGAGAAGATCAATTTACCCGTGACATAGCAGAGGGTCCAAGTAATGCATACAGCATCCCCGAAACAATACTTTCTCCGCATTGTGTGCATATTTTCAAGACCGCGGCTGTTAACGGGCAGTCTACGCTCTCCGTGAGTGATGACAGCGCCATCTCCAACAAGCCTGCGAGTAGGAAATCGTTTTGAGCAAGAACAACAAAGGAGCACGACGTACATGAGATGTAGGACATGGCTGCCAGTGCAGCTCCACGGTGCATCACCGTGCAACAAATAGTTGCTCTATTTAGAGCTGCTTCTACGTGCAATTCTGCAGTCGCTAGAACACCCTGTCCAAAAATCAGATCAGCGTCAGGTGATTTACTACGAGAAAAGGATAAGACTTGCCTTGTGACAGTTGCGAAGAAAAGTGGACATAAAATTCATATACGCTTCCGCCACGTCAGGCTCGTTGTCACAAGCGTAGGATGAGCTTAATGCCGCCACCGAGTCCGCAGTACTAAATACTCCCGCTACTTCAACGAACAACGGGGCATACTCTTTCTGATGACCGTGTTCTTCCGTTAAAGTATTAGCTACAAACAGCCAGAGTAAGAGTGATCAAGTAAAAAAAACCAATTCCCTTACCAAGTTTGAGAAAGCAGACATGGGTTTGAAAAGAAACGAAGTTCTCACTCGAAAATTTTGTAATGTTTGGCAGCAACGGTAGTATGCATTGTCCTGTGCATTTCAAAAGAGCAATCAATACAACGAACGAGAACACTTTTAACGCTACCTCCGGTCTTTGTGGCCTCGGAGAGGCATTTGCATACTGCAGTTGCTAAACTGTTGTTCTCCATGAAGGCGGATGAGAACATTTGTTCCAACAAAGGCCAAAACTGTGATAAAATTCCTACGAAAACTTCCTCACCAATCACGGACGAGGAGCTAAGCACAGGGAATTGACTGAAAATTGTACCGAGCCTAGAAAACAGCAGACAAAGCTAGTTAGATTCCATCAAGCTAAAAAAAATCTGTACCTATGCAGAGCTCGAACACTGGACTCCAGCAACATTGCACTTTCAGCCGAGACAAATTTCAGCCGATTCTCAACATCAGCTATCAACTAGGACAAAAGTAATTGGTGTTAGATATGTGGTGGTGTGTCTCGAAACTCACAAGTTCTTTCAAAGGGTCATATGTAGGCTTCAAAAGCCTGTGCAATGCATCATTTAAAACTGCACTGCTTGTGACCATGGACAAGGAGCGTCCAATAGCACATAAAACCTCCTCCTCCTCCTTGGGAGACAACTTAAAATTGTGCAAGCCCTGAAAAAGAAAAGCTGATTAAAGCTAGTGCCTGACAATCTTATTACCTCTCCAATCCAGAGAAGACACTCCAGATTAGCGGGGTCACTCGCCATTGCAGAACCTCTTCACATATTCGCCTTAACGCAGTTGCGCATGCACTTGCCGCCAATGGTGCACTGAGCCCCGAGGCCAAAAATGATCTGTAACAAGCTCAAAGTTAAAGTCAAGAAATAGATGTA